TTTACAACGTCGTTGCCAAGCGACGAAAACCCAACCCCGATGGCAAACACCGGGGGGGGCTTATGACTTAATTTATGTTCTGGTGCTTTCATTTCCTGAAATAGTTATAAGCATTGTGATTGTGCAACTGCCTCGAGGGTGCGTGACCATTTTAACACAACGTGGTGCGATCATCCCCCTTGCGCGGAGCGAGGGTTCTCCACCCCGCACAACATGATCTACTCGACCACCATTATGGTTACCGCCAAAAAAAAAAACCGGAGGTAAAAAAAAAACGGTAACCTGGTTGCCGAGTTCACGAAGTGAATTGGCTTGTTTTACAACGTCGTTGCCAAGCGACGAAAACCCAACCCCGATGGCAAACACCGGGGGGGGCGGAGGGAAGGGGGGTCGAATGCTCAGTCCCTTGCGTTTTTTGCTCACTTTTATCGTCGTGCGGCATTATCTCCCTGAGAAACCTTCCTGTACCCGTTCCTACCCTACACCGCTTAGCACACTAGCTGTCGCTGTTGCTCTGCTGTTTCTTGGTCAGGGCAAACGATTTCCTGGAGTTTTGCATGGACCGCTTCGTGCTGCCTTCGGCCCATGACGCCGGCCCTTTCCCCGGCAAAGGCCTGGTCCTAGACTTGGGCTGTGGCAGCGGCCGTGACACTGTCTACATGGCGCAGCGCCTGCCTCCTGGCACCCGCGTAGTCGGTGTCGACAACCACTCGTACGCTCTGGAAAGGGGCGCGAGGCTGGCCGAACGGTGGCTGGAAGACACGTCTTCGGGAAAAGTTGTTGGTGGCAGTGGTAATGGTGGCGGCAGCGAAGAAGGCGCGACGCGATCGCAACGAGAAACCCAGACCGGCTGTTTGGGAGGGGTCAGAAGTCGGGCTGGCGGACGGAGCGATACCGACGGCAGAGAAGGGACAACGCAGGGACAACCCCCGGAAGTGCGGCAAAGGGCGTGCGAGTGGTCGCTCACCGACCTCAGGAAAGAGGGTTCGCTTGACGCAATGCGGGCTTCCATTGTCCACGGGCACCGGTTCAAGTGCGAGCGTCTGTTACCTCTACTTCGAGATCATGTGAGGAACACGTGGGACACACACTGGCCCTTTGCCTCGCTAGCTTTTCCATGTGCGGCCCACACACTGGTGAAAAGCTTGGGGTCCCAGGACTGGAGCTAAAGTATGTCCTGGTACTGCTTTTTGTCGCGTCCTATGTCGAGCTCGTATCATGTCGTTGGATGTCATGCACTTCTAGTTTCCCGTTTACGGCAAACCTAACGTCCATGCACTCGTGTTCAGCTAGCCCGTTCGCCCGTTCATACGTTTGTCTCCGCGCTTGCTGTACATAGGTGCTGCTCCCAGGGGGCTATTTCATCTGGTCTACGTTTTTGGACACGGGATCGGAGAATTTAGTGCCGCCATGGCGACCGAGTCGCATGATGAGGTAGTTGCAACCCGCGCGTTATTCGACCAAAAGCGTCGTGTCTCGTGGTTATTGGTCGAATCGGCTCTGGGTTTTGCCTCAACCGGCTTGTCCGTCTTCGGGCTTCGATATACGAACCACGGCTGTTTTGACGGCGTTGTGGGTCCTGCCGGAAAGGAGGTCCTCTCCTGTTCGCCTTTTTGCATCGTCCGGATCGTTCTCTAAGGTTTCGTGGTTCACAGATTTCACAAAGAATAATACCCGTTTATGGAGCAAAGCGTTTGCAGTCAGCTATTGTAGACTGCTGTGGACGCTTGGGCAAAGACAGCCACGCAAGCACACCACCCGCACCTATCGTTCAGGGTGAGAAATCGACTATCTCTTCTTGTTCTATTTCGCCATATCTGTCCCCTGCCTGCGCAACTTCACCGTTTGCTTATGCGCACCACCAAACTCTTTGCTGGACCCGGTTTCTCGTCAAGACCCGGCGAGCTGGCGGACATCTTCTCTGGCGATGGGTTTGAGATCCTGGTGGACGAACAAGGGGAATTACCCACGCGGGGCTCGACGGTGCCAGCGAATTTCTTCATCTGTCGAAAACTACCGACGACATGCACAATGAAATGATGCTGCTGCTGTCTCAAGTTGGTGTTATCCGTGGCATTGCAGAGAGGTGTTGTACAAATTGTTTAACGTTATGTACTGAGGTGCTGCATTCGAACTACATGCCAGTGTTGCAGACCTCCGTCGTATGTGAGGCTTTTTTGATGCAGCGGTTGCAAAGTTATCGTTTGCTTTTGGGGGCATTTCGTCTTTTTTTTTTTCCGCTTAGTCCGCTTGCCGCTCGTCCTTTTATGTCGAGGGTGAGTAGAGTATGCGCTGGATGTGTGCGCACAACGCGGTGTAACCGTGTGCGGCATCGCCCGCGTTTCAGGATGTGTATGGATGGAGAAAAGGATGAACGCGTGTGAGACCGCTTCTCGTGCAGTTATTATCGGAATTACGCTGCGAGCGCTTCTTCCATACCGCCCCGCGTAAGTTGGTCAGCCGTGTTAGGTACTGCATAACCGCTGTAAAGTACTGTATGGCCATGGGACCAGCAATTGGAAGCGTTTTTCCAAGGAGGATAATTCGATATGGCACACGATCGTGCCACACTGAGTGTTGTGGTTCGTATCTCAAAGCATCATGCCACAGCATGTTTTGAATAATTCATCGTTTGTATTTCGTCCCAACAATCTAGAGTGTTGCAGCTAGGAGCGTGAAGTGCTCTATTCCTCCATAACGCAACTTCCTGCTCCACCCAGCATCGTAGCCCAAATCGAAGCACGGCCGAAGGACACTCTAGTCTTTCGCTTCGATTTTTTTTTTCACGTGCAAGCCCAGGCTGCCACTCCGTTCTCACGGCCCCAAGCCAGACGTTTCTTGTGACACTCGGGTTTCTTCGACCGGAAACGTCGTTATTGCAAGCTCTGTTTAGTAGAATATCCGCAACTGCGTGACATCAGCTTCCCTCATAAAAATCGGTTCATTCATAAGTCTACAATCGTTTTTGACATGATGACTGCAACTCGTTCCATGCGCACCCTTACCCGCCCCGTGAACCCTGGCACAGCAGTTCCACTCCAGATCAATGAACTCATCACTCCACCCACGCGATAAGCATCGGCAAGACATCGAGATACGTCACACACGCCAACTGGCAACAAGCGCCAATACGAACGTTCGGACCGCGCGTCACCGGAGTCACAAATACATGAAATACGCCAGGAGGGAAGAAAACTCATCGCACAACAAACACGTCTAAACCCGCGAGACGATGTGTTCCAGAATACCCTTCCCGTCTACAACCTCTTGAACAATCATCCCCAACACGCCAATCATGGCGTACCGCCCGAGGTCGAGCTCCTGAGACTGGATCAACCGGAAGTCCTCGCCGTCTTTGGGCGCGAGACCGAGCGGGTCGAACCCAAGATCTCTGCGATGCAACAATCGAATCGGGAAGTGTAGGGGAGAGAGCAGACAGAGCATTAGGACTAGGAGCCCTTAAAGGTACCGCCAATTCCCTGGACCAGACCCTGCTCTTTCCTCACGAGTTTGAATATCATCTCGGCGGGCTCAACGCGGCGTTACTACAAAAAGCGGTACCCACCAGGATAAATATCAAGCATTCAGTTGCGGACATCTTATCATCGTCCGGTGCCCGGACGTCCGATTCTCCGCAACTTACCGATAACTACACCTTGATATTTGTACATATTTGTACAAGACGCTCGGCACTCACCCCGGGTAGTACTCGGTTTTCAAGTTTCCGACACCAGTCACGGGGCTGACAGTGCCCCACGCGTCCTTGATCGTCTGTCCCTCGATGAACGCGATCATGCCTACAGAAGCTACCCAGAACAGGGGGTAGACCGTCGCGATTTGCTGGAATGTGGATAGGAACAGCGTGCATGCGATTTGTCAGGGCGCGGGAACCCAGATATGGAAAATTAGCAACGAAGGGTAGGCATGAGATTGATGTCATTGATTATGGAACGCAGATGACAGTCTCTAAATCCAGGTCAACACCTGTTCGTCAACTTGTAAGACATTTGAGACAGGGGACAGAGATAGAGATTCGAAACCAGACAGATATGAACTAGTTGATACACCTGAAGCCCCAAAACCACGCACACGACACATGAGCACGAACGAACTTGGCCCAGGTTTGAGCAAAGATGCACCGTGCCGCAAAACGTTTAGCTGTAAGGCGCAACTTCAAGGACCAAGCACGTGGTGGATCGGGCTACCCGGGAACGAAGACGAACACTACTTTGTTCCCTTAGCCATCACAGATTTGATGCTGCAGCCGCAACTTGAGTGGCTCGCCACATTCGCCGGCAGTACGGAGATAGGTCTCCTACTGAGGGGCCACGGCGCAAAGTGCCGAGGAAAGCAAGGGAGTACAATCGTTATGCGGTGGTCGTACCTGAGCGTGCTCCACCGCAGGGCCGATGTACGCCGGGCCCATGAACAGCGGGTGGAATACCTCGCTGACAAGGATACCCACCGCAGCCAACATCGACACGCGGCCGTGCTTCAACTCAGCCTCGCGCCACTTCTTGATTGTCTCGGGATCCTGATTCGTAGCCAACCCTGCAGGGTCGAAGTACTTCCCCTGGCAGGATTTGGGCAGGGATGGGTGAGGAAGCAAAAGGAAGGAAAGAGTCGGTGGTTACTTGATGCGTTCGCGAAAATATTGGCGGCGTAAGCGGGTGGTCTTCAGTGACGGTAGAATATGTATACTTTCTAAATACACGTGACGTGTCGTGTGTAATGGCGGATCTGATGGCAGAAGTTCGCTTTCAGCGTACAGCTAGGTTCCTTCCATTCACAACCTTAGGATTCGCCCCAATACTTTGTTGGATATCTAATGTAATACATGCACGAGATGTCTTGTCTTCGGTTGTTACCATACAAGTGATCCATAGGGGAGCACGTGTCATGCGAAAAGTTCAGTTGAAGCCAATAGTTCGCGGTGGTTTAGCGCACCGGCGTCATCGGTGATCACAATCTGGGCACGTCCATTAAACGAGGGCGTAACTCAGCGTCTCTGAGCACATATTAGTTCCGGTTTTCCCTGCAGTGGCATAGGTACATTGATGAATCGACGACCGTAAACTGTAGACTAGAGATACCTGGGGGGCAAAACACATGCGGTGAAAGCTTTTCGTTCTTGGTGACAAGAGTGTAGAATGATGCGCGTTTGTTGTAGACGGGGAGCTGATGATTGTATCTCTGTACAACGTTGACGACTGTCGTGTTCGAGAAGACGCGTGTTATCAGCAAACGCAGGTGACACCAGGAATCCTGCCATGTCGCCCTTTCCGGTGTTAGATACATCGTAATGGGGACCAGTTCCTCCAACGCACCTACGGCGTAATATGAAACACGTTCCAGAGGTGCCGTCAGAGGGTGATTGGTGTTCACGGTGAGTATGACAGCAGACTACGGTGAGGCTCATGAGAGATTGGCTTAGGCCGGGTTTAAGGCCCATCAATCAATGGTGTGGTCTAGACTACATGCCAGACCATTTACGTACTGCAGTTGTGCACCACTTTCATGGCGTAAGTTCCCCGTGTGATGGGCGACTGTTCTTTCATGTCTAGGATCAAAGCAGAATCCATCCGGAAGCAAAAGTTTTGCTTGTGTTACTACATGGCTGGTCAGCATCATGTATTGCGCAGAACATTGTTGTGACATCACAGCACAGGATGCGTCATTCTGAAATGTGACACTCCGAACGATCGCGTAAAACAGCAAAAATACTACTGCTGTGCCTGGGTTACACCGCCAACCCACTACCACGCAAGTGTATCCGATCTACAGCAGTACCCAAGCAACACTAAAACGAAACAGGAAGCATACCTCGGCCGCCATTCCGAATGGCGCACCCGGCAATGAAGCTGCGTAGTCCGAGCCTGCGGTCATCTTGGGGGTCGAAGACGCAGCAACACGCGCAGTGGAGGATCGCGGCGCAGCGATCGGTGCAACGAACGCCGCCGATGAGGCGATAAGGGTAGCAGCAGTGCCAAGGAACAACTGGGAGGACACCATCTTGGTTGAGCGTGTCTTCGAGAAGAGGGTAGAGGAGAATGTGGTGATGAGGGAGAGACAAAGGTGTGGAGAACGGTGGGTGGTGCAGCCGTGGCTGTTGACTGTTTTGATGTTGTCATCAGATCCCAATAGTGACTCACCGCCATTTCCATAGAGGGCGACGTCACTCCCATGAAACGACACCAATCTCACCGCATGATTTCTTAGACCGCGCCGCAGCAAGGGCAGTACGTGCCGATGACATCCTGACTAGCTTTCGTTGTGGTTTGTGTTTGAATCAAGCGAACTACACACCCCGAGAAGTGCTGAAAAGGACGCAGATCATCTTACCTATTCTGGTATTAATCCATCATGGACTGCTGGCTCATTTCACCGGGACAGAGTCTGTGACAGCAATCTGACATGGCACAATATTGCAATATTTGATAACAGATGTTTTGTCTCGAACGGGTAGGCTACAGCAGTCTCAATATGGTGTGATGCATATCACGAGGGGATCAGTAAATGCATGCGTAGATTACAGCAGTACGTGTACCAGCAGGCTGTGGTGGGATCATACTCCTTCCGGATACCCGTCATGAACCGCAACATGATACTTGCAGGTATTTTGCTGTTGTTCGGATCGCACCTCTCAGGCGTGGCTCGAAAATCCCCACGGAACTCCCCGCCAAGCTCTCAACATCTGGCACAAATCTAGCTGCACAGCAGTCGCAGTACACCCAACCCCAAGTCAACTCTGACATGCATATGAACATGTACAGCAGTCTACACACGCACGCACACAGCGCGGTTCCTGCGGTGCATCACCTTTCAAGCGCGCTCCTTTACCTCCAGGGAAACAAACATGTTTCTAAACAACCCCGAGAAAAGACGTGGACGAGAAGAAATAAATTCAAGCAGAGTGGGTGATCGACGTCGATCCCCGCACAACAAAATTGCCATGGTCGTTGCGATCGTTATCTCTTCGCCGTTAGGATCGTTACATCTTCGCCATCAAATCATCATTCATGTTGCCCTCTCCGAAGGACGTTGTCTTTGGCATCATTCGTGCTGCCCACTCCGTCAAACTCCTCCCATTCCTCGTACTTCCTGCCCCCCCCTGAGAGACAGTGAAGACGACAGCGACGAAGGTGTGCCACATCGACCCAATGCGACTAAAGAGGATTGGAGCAAGTTGGACAGGGTAGTAAGAAGATGACGGCGTGAAATCACACCACTCGCCCCCTCCGTCTGAGCGCCCGTGGTGGCCTTTGACCGCTTCATTCAACTCTTTCTAATTTGCTTCTTACGAATAGGGCGGTATGGAATGAAGCTTTCTAAGAAAAGGGCGGTATGGAATGAAGAACAACTACCTTTGGGTGCTCCCTACAATGAGCAGCTAGAGAAGCTTACGCAGATCATCGCAGCGTGGTTGTGTTGTTGGTAACTTTAGTATCAATCTTTGCTGGCTGGTGAATCGCATCGGTTGTATGAATTCCGCACTTGTCTTGTTGTAGACCAGTCCAGACCACTAGTCTATCATTTCGCCATGCACTGTGAGATGTTGGCTAGTTTCGTCAAGTAGAGCACCCATCAACGCTTTCTCCTAGACCGCCCACACCCTCGACACAACAAGCGATGGCCACATGCATCCATTTTGTAGCCCGGCGGGTACTGCACGTTAGCTTGCTGTCCCTGACAACTCCGCTTCCGAGCCGCGGGAGTCGAACAACAGCAAGAGGGATATGCTCGTTGTGATATAATTTAATCAATTTCGTATGTAGCACTTTGTTTTTCTTCTTACTTCACGTCCGGCTGTTGTGTGTCCGATGTCTTCCTACGCAAATGTTGAACGCCTTCAGCAGGTCATCTTTCCCCCGCGCCCGCCGCAAGTCAGCGGGCGCCCGCTTCTTCCCGTAAATCACGTACACAAACCGATTCTCCCATTGCTTTGCACCGCTCCTCTCGACTGGGTGTTGTTTTTCGTGAATCAGGAGAATCTCAACGAGCTACAAAGATCATCCTTCCCTCGCGAGCTGTCGGCGGAAGAAGAAGGAGGAGAGGTTATACCTACGCATACAGACATTAGAAGAGACGTACTGCGGTGAGACGGGCTGTGGGATATACCAATGTGTTTTTGTAGGCGGGAATAAACTACGAACAATGATGATGAGGACAAAATGCATGATAGGACCTCGGCTTCATGATAGAACGGTGTACGGAACACGACAAATCGCTCCGTATTGGTATCGAATATGCGACAGTGTCATGGAGCTGCATGACCTATGCAGGTGTGTTGAGGGCGCGTTTTTTCAGTGAAATTTTCACACTTTGACAATATTTAGTAATCACGGTTTGTTAGGTTAACTCGTGCGAGTGCGTCGTTCATATATTGCAACATCTCCAGGCTGGTATGCGCCCCCAAAGTTACAACCAGTCGAGTCACCAACCTCACGCACTCTTCACCTACCAGTACAACTCATTGTTTTTAGAAAACAGCGCACGAGAGACATGTACCAGCATGCCATATTCCATACAGTGTGACCGGAGAAGTGTGACCAGCGACACACAATCTCGTTCAGTTCCTCGGGGGAAGCGAAAACAGATAATACATCAACTATGCATAGAGAGCAGACGTGCAGCATGGTTCCTGCCCCATCTCACTGAATCGAAATGTTTGGCCCTGGTATCGCAGCGCCAGCCCCAATGGAGCAAGTCTAGCTCTACGATGATTACGCGGGGGGCAGCCGCCGCAGCAGCGGCAGCAGCAGCGGCGGCAGAAGCACCAGCAACGGCAACAGCAGCAACGGCAGCATCACCAGCATCAGCACCAGCAGCAACAGGATCGGCAGCGCCGGCGGCAGCACGAACGGCACGGAGACGGGCGAAACGGTGAGTGAGCACAAATGACCTGTATACCTAAATAGTTTTGTGGATGATGTCGTGTACAATCTACATTGCGTCGGAAGGATTATTGATGGGGAGAAAACTCCACACAATATAGCAGCGATTCGACCAATTGCAGCATCTGAAATCGTATTCTGTGCACTCTGTAGAAATGCTTATCTTTTGCTTGTGTAAGCCTTGCTCGAAGTGGCCAGACGATTCTCCATCAAGTGGCCAGACGATTCTCATTAGATCAAATCACAAGTACATGTCAATGGTTTGATCTACACCCTAGACCGCGTACCCCGGGTCGTCCACAAGAACATCGACATCGATCATTGTTGCTGTTAGCTCATGGCGTGTTGTGCCCGCGCACCGAGTTGCCAGAAATTCGCCCACGGTCGCGGAGAGGTTCTTCGATCGATCGATCGCCGTGACTACGCCACACGAGTGGCCCGATCTGCCCTATACCGTGCCCCAGGTCGTCCACAAGGACATCGACGTCGATCATGGTTGCTGCTAGCTCATGGCGTATTGTACCCGCGCACCGGATTGCCTGAAATTCGCCCTCGATCGCGGAGAGGTTCTTCCAACGATCGATCGCCGTGACTACCCCACACGAGTGGCCCGATCTGCCCTACACCGTGTCTTCGCTTGCATCGAGCATCGCTGGGGTCACGGAGAGAGGCTTTAATTACTCCGTGACAAACATCCCACGTACAGGCTCACCGGATGCCCCGGGTCGTCCAAGTCGTGTTGAATAGTTAGATGTTGCATGTCTTGACAGATAGTGCAAGTAGAGCATTGAACCTAAGGAGTATGAGCTTCCGGTTGTGCTCAAAAGCATACCTCCGAAGCTTGGAAAACGGTAGGGGGAGAGATTTCAAAGAACGAAACAACGGCAAGCTCCGAAAGGAGGCGGTTAGGATGCACGTACATATATACCCCGACGAATCGCGGTCGAAATGGGTTTCTCTCCCCTAACGCATAGCGAACAACAAGCAAACCACGAAAGCATCCTCCTCCCTTTCGCTCGGGAACTCATGGCAAAAGTGTGTACAGAGTACAGCCATGGGCACCAAAACTGCTTTTCATACGGGTGTGGTGTAGATATCCCGTATGTAGAAATATCTGTCTTCGCTCACTCAGATTTTTTTGTGCACACACACATTTGCAATGACGCGCCGCGTGATAACCTTATTTAGGGAGCAATGCTACTTACTTGTTGCTCTCGATGCGTGTGCCGCTAGCGCAGTGCTCGAGCGTTCGACTTGTGCCGCGGGCATACGTGCCCCCGAAAAGGCAACTCTGGACCCTAGCCGCGTGACGGTTCAATGAAAAATATCAGTATTAGACTATTGATATTTAGTTTGACTTTCCAATCAGAAACTACGATATTCTGTCACCAACTCTTTCTTCACGTGAATTGTGCCGCAATATGAGTGAGTCTACTTTCAAAATACTCAAAATACTCCATGAGAAGAGCACTCTTCACAGAGACACTTCTTTCTCTCAACAGTCGAGGCTGTTGTTCACTATACAACAGCACACGCGCAAACAACAACGTGCTAACGGTCCGTAGACTAGACTAAATGGGAAACAGGCTGGCCGGCGTTGTGTATAGTGACAGGTAACGTTCACGTCCCACGTCCCACGTCCCACGTCCCACTCGTTTTTTTCCCGCTCAGCGACACATTCATTTAATTTGCAGACCCTCGTATTTTGCACGGATTCGGTTTGTTCCGTCCCTTTCTCTGTTTTCCGATCTTGTTTGCCTGCCTGTCTTCGCTACGACTACATTGACCCCCCCTCCCCTTCAGGACCTCGCACAGCTCCGCACAAGCGTTGACTGCCCCGCCTGGATGGGACATCCAGTGGAAAGCAGTGTTCGGCGGAAACATCAGCCACAGCACAGCTGTTTACTACTGGGAGTTCAGGAACATTGCGATGAGGAAGCTCATCGGGCATTTCAAGGATGCGTGAGTTCAAACTAAAACAAATTTTGATGGTTGTCGTGGTAGTGACAATGGTTTTGAGTTCGCCCACGGAAGGCGGAAAGAGAAGTTAACCAATTCAAACTACATTCGCTTCGGTATCCACCATACACATTGATTGGCTTTTGACGCAGAAAAAAGCAATAACTGACGCAGAAGAAAACGATAAACTAGAAATATAGACTAATAAGAGCTTTTTCCGATAAATCACAGAGAACACAGACTAGATTCCAAAGTATCGCAATATCCTCCAAGAATGCCCCCCGACATGAAAAGCCTCCCCCTCCAAATCCCCGTGCTGTAATGCGAAAAAGATGGTGTATACGCCTTGTTTTAGCCTCCTTCTAGCCCTAGCGGAATCGACGTTGACAACAACAACAGCAAATAACAAATACAACAACAACTGTGTTGTGGCAACAGCAACAACTCGCATTTTTCACGATCTCTCGTATGCGCCACCATGTTCTCGGCACCCACGTGATCAATAAACCTGTCGCAGCAACTCGGCGAACGCTCGGACCAAGCTTAGGTCAATACTGCAGGCCCTGCGTGAGGAGAGGTCAGCTGCAAGGGGTGCTTCAGCTGGAACATTAACGTCTGGCCCCAGCCCATCAGGGGGCTCATCTTCCCGCCCCCGCACACCAGCTGAAGGGGGCGACGGGCGGTCTTCTCCCATTACGGGAGCGCGGGCAGCGGCAGTAGTACCAGCACCAGCACCAGCACCAGCGCCTGCACCGGCACGACGACGACTATTAGTACCGGCACGACGACGCCTACCGCCACGGGCACCATCAGCACCAGTAGGAGCAGCAGGATCGGGGGGGGCGGGGGGGTCGTCCTCTTCTGGTGCGGGGTCACGCGTTTCGGCAGGGATCAACCGGTCGTCGAGGTGGGTGTTGATGTATGTCCCCCTCCCCGGTCTGATGCCATATCGAAGAAAAGGCCGACCAGCACGTCTACCCGTAGGCGCATTGTTTTCTGTATTATTCCCCAGCGCCAGTAGTACGAGAATGCCTCTCGTTCTTTCAAGAATCGAGTGTGTGCGTGTAAATTTTCGAGATACATGGATACACCAATACGCGCGTCTTCGTGCACGCTCTTTGAGCTACCTGCTCCTCAGGGCGCGGGTTCGAAGTGCCTGTCGGTCAGTCAGTCCTGCTATATCACCGCACCGGACGCCGCGGTCTACACGCCGAGGTTGTTTTCAATTTATCCGAAATAGCACTGGAACGAAGCGGATGCTCTTCCCTCTTCTGCAGTGCATACATACGAGGAACGAATAAACAGAATCCCCGCAAGGACACGAGTGAATGCTATTAAGGCCCAGAGGAAGGCACACATCACCTCGTATCGAGACACCTGGGGACGACGACGCTACCGTACCTATGTTCGGTAGAGATTGGCAATGACCCACACGGCAAAGAGGAAGACGAGAAACATTACTGTACCACGAAAACTGAACGCCAACTGTACGTATGTACCTGGCTGCATGCGAACGCCCAACACAGGCGTACTCCTTCAGGCGAAGGAGGGGCAAGCAGCGACCGAGCCCGCGATGGCTCTGACCAGAACGGTATGTTTGCCCCGGCTTCGCGGACCCGCCCACACGCAGCACCATCATCTCCTGCCATTCGTTCCCCGAGACCCGACCGCAGCAGCGATCACAGAGGTGCGCCGAAGGTGGGGGAATATTCAGTACACGAGTCAGCTAACGCGGCGCTCGGCGGTTCTTCTCAACCAGAAGCCGTCGGAACCTGGGCATTCCTGGACAAAATGCACGAGGAAACCGTCGCCAACAGTGAGTTGCTCGGGTCCCTCGTGGACAACGTTTTGTCCGGTGAAAGATGGTTCGGGGTGCCTTCTGACCCCAGCGAGTGGAGCCAGCTTCAAATATCGCGGCCACCGTGACAGAGTTTCTACATGACCCCGCGCCTAGTTGGGGGTGATTGAGATAGTGGGAAAAAGGTCTGTGGAGCAAGAATTCATGACGACGGCAACGGCGGCGCGGCGGGTGGTCGGGTCGATGCCACCACTACTGGGGAGACAAGGAGGACGGGGACGAAGAGGAGGAGGAGGAAGAGGAAGAGGAGGAGGAAGAGCAGAAGACGGAGGAGGAGCCGGACGGACGCTCGAGAGGGAGTACGTGTACCTCGTAACGGCGTTATTCGGGGTTGGCGCGTAGTATTGCGTAGGAGGGGATAAACGGAAGTAAGTCTGAAAAATATTGGAGGTTGGGCGAACGAAACACTCCGCACTATTGCGAGCTCCTACATACGTCCCGCAGCTAGATCCTGTCCAGCATGGAGGTTCTTCGTTCACGCACGCAGAGGCGTGACGCTTCTCCGAGCTCGTTTCAGTGAAATTCACCGAGAATTTGGTGTGGTGAATGATGCTTGCTTGGTTCCTCTCTTTGCCTAAACCACAGTACGTGAAGAGGGCAACCGTAACAGGGATCGAGCTAAGACTCTAGTGTGAGTATGTCTGCGTGCGTCCTAGGACACGCGCATGTGCGGGAGGACTCTCTTCTAGGCTCACCCCCGTGTGTCGTGTCCTCTCCGAAGGCGGTTTAGCCGGGGCCTACTTTTTAGCCGGAGGGGGGAACGGGCGGTAGAGTGAAGTTCGTGGGTGTGTGAGACAGGTACCATATAAATACTCGCGGCTTGCATTGTTGTTTGTTTGTTTGTTTTTCTCCCATCATTGGACTGTCGTCTGCCCCTCTGGGGCCGATCCTCCACTTCTACTAGCTAGACGACCCAACCGGGGTCACATAGGAGGGGGGGGTTGGACCCCCTCCTGCGGTTCATGCCTGAGGTACTTTTATCGCGAGAAGGGTACAGCAATCCCTTCCCTCGCGACTTACGAAGCCGATTATGGTTTACAAACAAACGAGCTTTGCAGCGCGTCGCTTTCATCCTAGACCAGGATTTATTTAGTGAGAACAAAATCTCTCTGCCGGGACTCGAATCCATGACCTGGCCCATAGCAGGCTACGAAGCTACTCACTATACCACCGGGGGGACCGGTGGTCTGCGTCTATGTGTGATGCAGGGAAACTTCTTGGTTATATTTATTACTTGCGCTGCCGGCGGATACTGTGAGGTTTGTTGTTGTTGTTGTTGTTGTTGTTGTTGTTGTTGTTGTTGTGAATGTTGTTGTCCTCGTTCTTGCTGTCGTTGTTGTTTACAGCTGGCTGTGAGAGTTGCATCTCATTATTTCTGGTCGCCACTTCCACCTTGCGTTATGATTTCATGATTAGAATTCATGTCGAATCGTTCCCTCGTGTTGTGGTCGCGTGGTCCGAGATCAGGAACAAAGAGAAGTGCCAATTTTTTTCTACCCCTCCCTCTCCCCTCCTTTGTTACTGTAAACCGTTTTCAAGGGGGAAAGACAAGACATGTTATTATTCATGCAACAGCGGCACCAAGGTAAGGTTGAACTTGTTGCACTTAATAACCGGAATGTAGGATGTACAAGAACGCAATCTTACCCGCTTTATCTCTCTCGTGGTACTGGGCGCGGGCTGAGGGACTCCGAAGGCCTACAGCAGTAACTGTCTCACGGGGGGGGCATGGAATTGCATGTAGCTGATTCTTCTTGGTCCACACCAATCCGCCTCTTCTGTCGCCATTCATGAGTGGCGATTGGAAACAGTTTGACGAACTCGCAGCTTCCACGGTAACAATAAAAATCTCGCTCAAAGCGATTCAATTGCATCGATCCATCCAACAGCGAATCGACTCATAATATATTCCTACGTGTACTGAAAGCAGCTGGCGGTTGTTGTTCAGTGCGCGGGTAAAGTCCGCACGACGACCCCTCCCTGTGCCGCAGCTGAAGCACTTGGCTGTGTCGGCAGCTTGAGAATGAGGTAGCCCGTTTTCCCAGGGGCGCGTCGAGAAGCTTTCGATGGTACAGTTCAATCCGACCATCGCGACCGCCCGATGGTCAGCCGTTTGTATCAACCCGACCCATGGTACGAACTCACGGGTGGCCGTACGACTTGGTATAATAAGTAGGTCTGGACGATTCACGAAAACACCGTCTCCTTACCTACAAGATAAATGAAAATGTCCGATTCCTACACTAAACCCACGTAGAACCCATTCCCAACATCTGTGGTAAAAATATTTTACTTCAATCGGCCATGTGAAGATATTACGTCATCAAAACCCTATTCCTAATCTGGATTTGAAATCCGAATCTGTGTGGAAACCTGGATATAGGTATCTTCCTAACGGTACTGACGCACATACAACCAGTGAAGATCGGAGACCCTACGAACACAGTTCTACAGGTCTGCAGATGTTTACAAAGAAAGAACCTCCGCCTGCTGTGACCAGCCGGAGCATGAGGGAGCCCACCAAGGCTCACTCTCTCTCACTTTTCACCCTAGCAAGGCTGACTAACATCAGCCACGCTTGGCCATTCCTTGCCACATTGCAATAAGAGCGAAATTACCTCCACTGGTGAACGGTTATTCACCACTTCAGGGACCTTACCTCATAACGGAGCAAGGGTATTCTCATCTGGATTTGAAATCCCGAATTCGGATTATAAATCCATATTGAAAGTGTGCCTCACTTGCACAACTCCAGACGACATGTTTTCTCCCCCATTTGAACACCTTCTGTTGCAGCGTCCTCCAAATAGTTACAGTCCCGTCGCCGTCTGGCACGCGCGCACGATGTACACGCTCGTCACGCCTCCGATTCCACGGAACATGTCATGAGTATCCTCTAACGCTTTACCTCAATCCCTTGCTTCGTGCAGATCGAGGAGACAGTAGGATTTGGACGCTATGGATGTGTCGGAGGCACCGGGCACGGATGAGTCTGCGCCGGAGGCAGCAGGGCAGGTATGTCAGTACAAATAGCCTTCTTTTACATGCTCCTTTTTCAAGTATTCAGTTTGTTATTTGATTGCCGAAAAAAAAACGAATGCTGAACGCTTAGTAACCACCATTTCCTCCCACGCGTGCTGAGAGCAAAACTCAGCCTTCTTCGTGCCGTTCACGCCATACGACGCATGCTTGTTGCTCCCTTGGTAGCCACACCTCTTGTTGACCACGTCCATACATGAAAGAGTATCGACAGTAGCTGAATAAGAAATGTTCGAGCAAAAGGCCCCTTTTTCCTGTTACTTAATCGTCCATATACAGTGTGGCAAGCGAGGATGTCACAGGGAGGCGACCCATGAAGATTATGGAGGTCCCGCCAAGTTTTGTGGCCCATGCTCCACCAGCGCCATGGTTGAAATTAACTTGGCCACGAAAAGAAAGAGGCCGCTATCAAAGAGGGCCGCTGAAGCCGCCGCAGAAGTTGCAGCCGACGACGAGAGTGAGGCACAACCAGCCAAAAAATCGAGTCGCGGTGGGGGGCGGGGTGGGTGTGGACGCGGTGGCGGGCGCGGTGGTGGACGAGGCGGTGGACGCGGTCATCTCGTCGAGGCAGCGGTGGCGGTGGTGGAGGCACCGGCGAAAACAACGGTGGAGGCACCGGAGAAAACAACGGTGGAGGCATCGTAGGAAGGAGTCATGGGCGACAAAGGTGGAGACATCGGTGGCGGCAGCGGCGGAGACTATGGCGGAGACATCGGCGACGGAGGCATTGACAGAGACTTTGATGGAGAGTTCGGGGGAGCCTTCGGCGGAGAGTTCAGTGGAGACATCGGTGGAGGCATCGGTGGAGATATCGAGAGCAGCGGTGGAGGCAGTGGTGGGCATGGCGCCGACAACCCCCCCCGAAAAGCAAGACAGGGGGGCGCCAAGATCATGTATTCCACCGAAATTACAGTGGAATCATCTCGCTTCAGCTCAAGGCCAAGTTGCTGACCGGGGCTTGTGTGATGCATCTGCGCCCAACAGTCTAAAGCTCAATGACAAGGTGGGCTTCAAGCGTTCCGAGCTTCCCGGTCTGAAGTACTACTTCGACAAAAACTACATGTTCAACCCGGCGAGCATCGAGGTGGTCGTCGGATCGACACGGGTCAAAATCGACGGCAGAATTTTCGTGGTCGAATCGTTCGATCACGGCAAGTACAACCTGGCCGGTCACAAACCAATCACCCAATGGGAGCTCCTGCAAAACCGGCGGGGCGAGGGGGCGACACTCGACGACGAGCTTCGGCGGTTCATCATTCAGCAAGCGGACGACTACGTCGTTATGATGGCTAGGGCCGTGCCGTATTTTCACAACTGCGGCATTGCGACAGAAGGGATGCTCTGGAATATCAAGGAGGCCGTAGAGAGAGCCAGGGCGCATCCTGACAACATCGACGTCGAGAGCAACAAGATGACCCTCGAGGAGCTGGCATCGCTCCAGGAGGGACACGAGAAGATGCGCAGTCTGTCTCTGGAAATCTTCACGACACTCCCCTTGAGCGAAACCTTGCCGAAAAACTTTTGGGGTGGTGCCGTCGACGGGTCATTGCGCGACTTCGCCGAAGGAAGTGGATCACTGAGCCAATTGAACTGTCTGAAAGGGTTGGGATGTGCTTCTAGAAAAGGCATGACGGAGGGGTGCTTGTTCACGGAAGATGTGGTGGGGGGAGGTCATTCGATAGCGCCTTCGCACGACCGGCCGCGTGGTACATGGGATGAGAAGCTCAAGAGTGTCAGCAGGTTGTTGACATGTGCCTATCGCCTGGGACGCCCGGTTAGTCTCGTTGAAGCATACATCCCGCTTTCCGAGGGAGAATGCAACATCTTGGACGCACATCACGGACAATGGAAAGACAATCTCGCCTTCAGCTTGAAAGGCTTGCACGTGGGCTTGGAAGAGAGCGTCGATGTGAACGACAGCGAGCTTACAGGGGAAAAGTCAAATGCACTGCGGTTTGCCATGGACCGATGAACGACGTTCCTACCGGCAGTGTCTCCTGTGGTTGTCGGTGGGTGTGGGACGAGGGATTCTGACGAATATGGCCGGGTGGGTCTGAGTTCGCTGGACTCATCACACTTCATCCATGCCAGGGCTGGTCCAGGGATTCTCCAAAAGCTACTGGGCACCGACAGCAGCACTGTGGCCGTCGAAAGAATTGTCAGCGTTAAGGTCGAAAACTTCTTTCAGAAAGTGCGGAACAACAGGGCACACATCGAGGCCAAAACCAGCGGTGGGGTCGGGACGGGGTCGAAAGAGCGCAATTAACGGGTTGCGCTGGTGGAGGATGAGTGGGTTCGGCGAGAGAAAAAGGTGCGGATGTTTATGGAGGCACTGGACGTCAACGGGTGCCGGCGTATCATGGAGGCCATCGAGAGAATCGACCCCGGCATCATCGACTTCTTGTTGGAGCGCCTTGGTCGCGCGGAAAGGGCGTCCACCACATGGGATTCTAATGCCATCGGAGGAGATCATTTGTTCGGTACAACTCCCGATGAAGTTGCTGAGGGCAAGAGGAGGGTGGATGCCCTTGTTGATGCGCTGGAAGTAGAAGGAATCACCTCGAAGGATTTCGTCGTCTTCAGTGTGGCGACCCAACTTGGAATGCTTATCAACGGGGCCAACCTTCGCCCCTAAGACTTTGTCTTTCTCCTCTTCAAGATCATCTAACACAAGATCATCCAAGAAAAGGGGCGGTCGCCGCGCTCAAGGATAGTGATTCGGCTTCCAGATGAAGGAAAGCAGACCCGAAAGGCCGAAAAGAAGGAGTCCGCGGTTTGCATGGAACACGAAGTGGAAGGCGAGGATGTTGTGAGGTGGATGGCGGTGATGGCACTCGTTGGGAGACGTTTCCTCGAGAAGGCCAACGGCGGCGAGGAGCTGAGCAAATATTTCACCGCGCTGGGTGTGGGTGGGCAAGCGCTTAGCCAGGGCGTATTTGGCACAATACTCACTGGTGTCGGAGGAGCGTTCTTTGGCTTGGAGAATCTGGATCTCAATGGCTTTCGGACCGCACAGGACACGCTGGCCGTCGAGATGATCCTGGAACTGGGCTGGAGCCTAGACGACCAAGCATTGAAAAATTTGGCTAAGCAGCAGAGAACTTCTCTTGAGGTGAGCATTGTTTCCCGTTTTGGCACTTGATCAAGCCTAGTGTGTATGTCCTTTAGTTGGAAGGGGAAGACTCGTTTCATAACTTTTATTAGACACGTAGGTATTCCTATGCCCCTATCTGTGTGCTCCCATTGTTGCCGGTATATCTATCCAGTCGGTGTCCACCTTCCTCGATGATTGTTGTGGATGTTCGTGTGTGTTTCACTGTGATCATCTATCCCAACTAAACTTTGTTTGATTTACCTCGCACGCAAACGAACTTCAGAACGTCACCAACATCTACAACTCGATGATCGGTGACATCACCAGCGTGGTGCGGAATACGACGGTCAGCTTCGTGAGTTTCAAGGGCGGGATCCGACGCATGCTTGAGGCGAGTTTTGGTTGGCTAGGTGTAGGCGGTGGGTCGGTCATTACCTCGGATACCACTCCCAGCCTGTCCGCAACATAATTCATGGATGGGCCGTTTCTACGGCTCACGAGGGATTTGGCGATGGCAAGGATGCAAGAGGAGCTGTAGCAAATTCAGGAGAGGAGGGCAGCCAGGAAAGGCATCGCACCCACGGCTGGCACCACTACGACCCCCGTCGCCCGACTTTGCCATGTGGCTGCGTCTGCTTCTACCACAACTGGTGCTGGACCCACTGTCGGTGGGGCGAGGGCTTGGAAGCGGGAAGGACCGTACAAAACAAAGGTGAGAGTACCACTCCACACTTTTACATTTTTCTAATCATTAGATAATCACATCGATTGTGACTTGTTTCGGGTGTTGAAGCATGGCAACTAACGGTGCAAACGCCGATGAATCAATCGCAGGCGACCGGACAAATCACACAGGCTGAACGCGAGGGGTTGCAGGAGATGGTGACAGCGATCGGCGACGCCTTTCGGCGGGCGAAAGCTAGGGGTTCAAAAGACCCTGTATACCACTACATGACTTTGCCTAGAAACCAGGCTAGTTTGTGGTCTTTGGTAAGAAAACTTCGAAAGTTGGACGCGGTTGACTACCGACCGGGGGCATGGTTCAAAGGAAGCGGATTCGCCAAGATGACAGATGGCAAGCCAATCGAGAAACTGATCATGCGGGTAGAGGACCAGGTCCCGGATTTTAAATGGACGTCGTGGCAGTCGTTTGGAAAGTAGATCGTATGCTCTTTGTGTAAGCTTGTGATAACTTGCGATGGTAGACAGGGGGGGAATGTATGGAAGGAGGCGGTTCTGAGCAAGTGCGGGCAGAAAGAGTGCAAGTACTGTGAGTAAAATAAGAGGGGATGGGACTTCCNCCAGTCGGCCTTCACGCCCGGCAGTGGATATCGTGTGATTGCGGGCCTCGTTTGAAGTTGCGATGTTCGTACAATGTAGAGTGTAGCGGGCGGTAAAACCGAATCAATAATTCGCACTGTCGCGCTCGCTTAAATCGTAGCCACCCGAGCCCGAGTGGCGGCAATCGGCGGTGGCAGTCGTACCAACGGTGCTTCATCGCGACTCCGGCAACCCCAGGCGCACAGAGGATGGCCGCAAAATGGCGCTCAAGTTATCACCCACCGCGCTACCGCTACTCCATCCCGTTGCCCCAACAGCACACCACCCTCCGCCCGCTCTCCCGAAAGAGATCACGATGGTCGGGGCGGTAGCGAAAGTTTATCCTCAAGATTAGAAGGCTTGTGTCGAAAGGAATTCCACAAAAGACATCATGAGAAAAAACACTCCGGGGAACACAAGGCGAAGATCGCTGCGAGGAAGTTGCGAAGTTCCCCCAAGATGCCCGGCATATTTTCCGGCTGTATTGCACCTCAGCTGCGTGAAGATTTGAAGGGTAAAGTCTCCTACATAAGAATCAACGGGAAGGGCCCCATCACTCCGGTAGCAGACATGGAAACGCTCGCGCGCATGGCCCGACTCCTGCAAAAAGAGGATGCTGCGGAGCTGTTTCAGCAAAATTGAATTAGATAAATTATGGCATTCTTTTAGCCTGGCTTCTTCTGCTGCTGCCGGTCGTTCACGTAAATACAATCTGTTTTTCTATTCATGTTGCTATTGTGAAAACTGCTGGCAACAAATTAGGGCGTCGCCGCCGGGGCACACACGATGCGAATGGCACGTTGAATCAAGTCCGAATCACGCTGGAAATAACTGTTTTCACTGAACGGCTTCCCCCTAAACGTGGTGTTGCGCTTGGGTATATTGCGACCAGCTTCCTGTCCGTAGCGCTCGTAGTACAGCCGCTTGACCACCTTGCCGACCTGACCGGACTTTTCGCCTACACTAAGCCCATTTTCCCAGCTTCGACGCAAATCGACGTCTCCGGGCCCTGAACACTCGGGCTACACTTCGGGGTTGCAATGAGCAGACCCGTCTCCGGGTCGATGGTGTCGTCTACCGGCATCGCCACACACACGGAAATTGGTCAAGTATCGACAGCAGGCGCGGCGGTAATCATGTTGGTCTGCGAGCTCAATTTTGTCGCATTAGCCGAAGCACCCCACCGACTCCAATGTATCCTTGAATATCTTACAGATGTCGTTTTCTACCTGGACTAAGGCTTTCTTGGTCAAATCCATGCTCTTCGTAGCCTCCATCGAGATATAGGCCCTTGTCTTTTCGTCCGTTGCGTGCTCGAACCAGACCGGCATGTTGGCCCGTTGCTTCTTGGCGGGGCCTTGTCCAGTCAGAAAGGATTGGTAAGCCCTGCCCTCCTCTGTGGTTTGAAGGCGGGTACAGTGCTGCTCGATCTCACCACAGAGGGTAACATCTCCACCGAGAACCCGGCAGATTATCTCGGCCGACTTTCCCTTGAATTCCTTGGTCAATAGGGAGGAATTGGTTTCAGCGCGCTCGAATTGCTCCGGGTACTACATGGATACCACCTCGGCATGACCGGTGGGAGCATCGACAATAATGTTCTCCATGGTTTTGTTTTTGTTTTGTTTTTTACTGGCACGTACCCCCGCCCCTTCCTTTGGCCGTCGACCTGCCTCCATGTAGTGGGAGGCTACCCCCCCAGGCTGGTGGTGCGGCCGTTCCACTAGTCTAATTATTTTTTTTATTTTTATTTTATTTGTTTCTGATTATATTTTGTTTTCTTGTATTTTATCGCTCTGCTGACCCTTGGGGTCCATTTTATTTTGGTATACCTTTTCTAGGTACGTTAGCCTGTGACCACGGAAATTGGCCGAGTCAAGTGATGGATTAGTACGGAGAGATTGAGACAGAAGGAGGTACTGGATAGAGAGACCGGGATGGTTTTTAATGTGAAGACAACAACAACAACAACAACAACAATGGTTGTTTACGAATAAAATATACTTCTATAATTTGGCGATTTCATACGCTCCCACGTGCGCACACCTGACCACCAACATTACCGTCACCAAGAGACCAGCTGATCTGGTCTACAATAAAAGGGCGACGGAACTCGCGTGCCGCCGCTGGATGCGCCTGATCCCGTCCGCGAACTCATGTCGGTCGAGTTCGCCGAAACACCCTATCGACTCCAACTCCTCTTTACAAGATTTCAAGATATCAATCTCTCCGAACGCTATCATCTTCCTCACTTCCATCGAAGCGTAGGCCCTCTTCAGATCGACCGATGCGTGTTCGAACCATGATGGCTCATCCACTTCCACGGCAAGTCGCTTGCGCACACCCCACCCCGCCAACTGATCCGAGTCGTTTTTAACACGAGCCCTTTTGTCACGGTGCTGTGTCTTAATTTCATCACCAAAAACGGTGTTGATATCATCCTTGTCCAGATCAAGCGATTGTACTTCAACGACACACTCTTCGAACGTAACCTTTACCGCATGCGTATCACAAACCGACTTCGTCGACTCTACATACTTCTCGGTATCCTTCTTGCCAGTTTGTGCAAAAAGATGCACACGCTTAGCCAGCCCAGGGTAGTATGCTTGGTATGCGAGCACCTGCCCGAGTGCACCCCTCCACTGCTTATAGTACTTCACCTCGATCACCTCGGTATCACTGAGCACGTCGATGAAACCTACGGGTGTTTCTTTCTCTGTTTCTCCACCGACGATAGAAGCAAGAGCATCTCTGACGGAACTTTCCTTCACCTTGAATAACTCTGGTTTGTATTCCACCCGTCTATTCAAAGCCTGTTGGATCACCTCCCCCCCTTCGATAGACAATCATGCCGAATTGTTTTTCTCGATATCTCGAAGAACATCAAGGTCACCACCCATTTCACGACACACGGTCTCCGCAGATTGACTACGGAACTCTCTGGAGGAGCTACGGGGCATTAAAATCCAAATGACCTCTATCAGGGTCTTCAAGTCAGTAACCGGTTTGTTGTTGTTGTTGTTTCTCACATTAGCTCTATAGTCCACAAAAAATGGGGAGCCCGTGGTCTCAAAACCCGGCACATACGACGCCGCGAGAAAACAAAAAACAAAAATAGGATACAAACCACTCGGAAAAAGAAAACAAAATGATCGAAAGAAAGAAAAGAACAGGTATCGCACCTACTGTTCGAGAAAAGAGCCCTCGGACAC